GGCGACCACGCTTGGATGCAGTATTTCAAGTGTGGTCTCACATACACTTTGTATAGGGGTACCAACACCTCTGGATCCAGCGAGACAACTGTTCTCAGCAGTTGATACAGAGCGTTGTTTGCCTTACGTGCCGCCAGTAGGCACTGCTTCTCTGATCTGAAACTACTGGTGACCTGAATTCCCAGGTCCCTAATTTCCTCACTCCTTTGGAGTTCCACTGGGCTCTCAGTGTTAATCCACCGCACCGAGCCTGTGCCTTCAGTCTGTATGACCTCTCTACATTTGGCCACATTGAGCGGTAGCTTCCAGTCTTCAGTTCAGCGTATGAGGGTATCCAAATCCCTGTGTATGGACTGGTTTGAGGGGGAACCTACCAGTTTCAAGTCGTCAGCGAACATGTAAACTGGGTTCTCCAACCTCTCTAGTATGTCGTTTACATAGGCTAGGTTGTCCTGTTTCTTGCACTGGTGAGCTCCAAGGATCTCCCGGGGCTTCGACAATAGGATGTGAAGGTTCATCTTCAGTGGTATACACGTAGACGGGCGACTAGGAGAGGACCTCTAGCAACAGCACCCCACTCCGTGTTGTGCAGTGGTGCGTTCCACACTGGCCTCTCGGATTGGAGAGTCACACCAAGAAAATTGAAGCCCATAAGGATGAAAGATTCCAAGTCAAGAAGGACATACGGAGGATTTTTTAGAGGGGTGGAGAAAGGAAGTGGAAGTGGGGGTTAAAAAGGCCACTGGGATGAAGAGAGGAGGGGATGGAGACGGGCTTCAGGCGCTTGACACGTTTACTCTCCTTCAATGAACAAGCTATCCCATAAGATATCCAAACGGCTTTTGAATTTAGCCACTGAGGTGGCTGCTGTGGCTTCCCTTGGCTTCCCTTGGCAGTTTGTTCCAGTCATTCACGACTCGAACCGGAAAGGATGTGTCCCTCAGTCGACAATTTACCCTATCCTTTGCCAGTTTCAGTGCGTATCCTCGGATTGAAGTGGTTTCACTTAGCTTCAGAAGCTTCCGGGAACCATCTCCGTGATCCCTTTTAGGATCATAAACGCCTCGATGAGGTCGACTGGACCTCTCCGTCTCTCCAATGAGAAGAGGTTCAGCACCTCCAATCTCCTCTTATACGACAGTCTTTTTATCCCGCTAAACCACCCGTGAAGCACCTTTGTAACTTCTTCAGCTCTTTGGCATCTGACCACTACACTACTGTCGGGGGAAGGCTAAGCAGGCAATACAACGGTGTGCAATGCTGGACCCGGAAGTGGGCTACCCGAGAGCCAGGAATATACTGAAGGAGATGTTCGGCCAACCATTCCGAGTGGTACGAAACATGATTGACGGGGTGCTAGCAGAGGCGAGGCGCACAAGAGGCGATACCAGTTCTCTAGCAAGCCTGTTTATCAAGA